CCCATCAGGGCCCGGCCAGGACAGGCCTCTGTGCCACCTGCACCTGCCGTGCACAGGCAGCCTTGCTGACCACAGGGTCACAGCCCTGCAGTCCCCTGGGTCCCCCTGGGTGGGGCAGTGGGCGGGGCTGTTGCACCTTCCAGCGAGGTCCAGCTCGACCGCCGGGACCCCAGCGCTGACCCTGCCGAGGCCTCTCACTCACCCCGAAGTCGAAGCAGTTGAAGGAGGACCGGAAGTAGCTCCTGGGCCCCAGGCCGTACATCTTCAGGGACATCTCTGTGAGGAAGAGACCCAGGAAAACAAACTCTGCAAAGTCTAGGAGAAGCCGGAGAAGAGGGGGTTAGCGCGCAGCCTCCTCCTCCGGCTCCAGCCCAGCCCAGCCCAGAGGACACCAGGCCCGGGCCTTTCAGGGGAGCCTTCCAGCCTGGCCTGCGGCCCCCAAGCCCTGAAATCTCAGGCCAAGGCAGGGACAACCGAGGACGGGGGGTGCAGAGATGCTCACTCCAGTCATCAAGGCGGGGCAGGCCCAGTGCCGTGGACATGAGACAGGCTCAGCCGGGAGCTCCCAGATGGGGCTCGGGGTACCTAGAGCAGGGCAGATGGCAGGGCGGCCTGGACCCACCCCACCGCCTAGTCCCTGCCCCACGCCACGCTCGGATGGACCCCCCAGCACCAGGCTGGGTTTGAACTTTGTTCAGTTTGCCCCTGCACCCTGAGCACCCCCAGTCCCGACCAGCATGCTGCTCGCTCTGTGAGTCACACAGAGGCTCCTGTGGCCACTGCCTCCACTGGCCAAGCGGACCCTCCAGGGCCTCAGGTCGGCAGGGAGGACACGCTGAGCTCGGAGCCAGGTGGGGGATTTCAGGCACAGACACTGGCCCAGCCTGGGGGGTTGAGGGGGCGCGGGAGTCAGAGCAAGAAAGCCCAGAGTTGCTCGAGGCCACAGAGAGCAGACCCGCTGGCACAGCCACGGCCACACCAGGGATCCGGGTGGCGGTGGACAGGTCCGGCTGAGCCTCCTCCCCAAGCACTTTGTTGGAATCGGCTCACTTCATACAACGGGCCAATGGCTCTGTGCCCTCCAGCCCCAGCTCAGAACCCACGGCCGCGCCCACACAAAGGCCAAGGCCGTGAGAGGGTACGAAGGGTCAGCTGGCAGCCACCGGCCAGGCCTCCGGTCTCTGGACCTCCAGCTGGTCCTGAAAGACAGTGACGAGGGCCCCACGCCCCTGCCACCGCGCACCAGACCACCTCGCTCCTGCACTCACTGCAGCCTCCGCAGCACCATCGGGGCAGGTCTGCAGCCGCCTGCACCCTGGGCGTCTGTACGGCCCAAGGGCTCAGGGAGGGGACCCTCCGTCTATGGTCTGAGGACATGGACAACCAGCCCACGGATCAAGCCTCCTCTGAACCAACCGAAGCATCACCAGGGCACCCCGGCCGGGCAAGGAGGCCAGGAGCCTCCTGCAGAAGCTGAGGGCCAAGGTCACCCACTGACCCTCAGGCAGGAACAGCTCAGGACAGAGGGACCCCCAGCTGCCCTGAATGACTGCCCACAGGGTGGGGGCGGGACAGGGGAAGTTGGGCCAGCCCCGAAGGGCAGCTCACAAGGCCCCAGCGACCCGGGGGCTCGAGGCTCCTGGCCACAGAGCCGCGATGTGCGATCACAAAGGCACCCCACCCCTCGCGGGTCCCCACAACAGAGCTCAGGTCCTGGGCGGGAGGCCACAGGGATGGGCCTTCCAGCCACTAACACAGGCTCAAAGTTGACACTGCTCAGACACGCCTCCTGCTCCGGGAGATGGCGAGAGCAGCCGAAGGGGCCTGGACAGGGCGAGGCGGCTGCGGAAGGGCAGCCCTGCCTGCCTGTCTGCACCCAGGAAGCCCCACCCTGCGCTTCATGCTCAGCCTCCTCTGAGGCCGAGGAAGGGGACAACGCACTCATTCACTCATTCATTCATTCCGAAGGCTTGTGCACTGCAGGGGAGGCCGGAGCAGCCGTACAGTGCACGTCGCAGCCTCTTCAGTCCCCGTGGTCTGCGAGCCTAAGCCCGGCTGCCTGCTGGACACTCCCGGAAGCTCCCGGGCCTTCTGGCTCTGCTGCCTCTGCCCTTCCCCACCGTCCACGTGACACACTTCGAGGCGGCTGTGGGGAACTAGCCTGGAGTCCTCCCACATCCCCCAGGGCCTGGGAAGCCGTCAGCTTCCACGGCTCCTCGAGCCTTCAGGAGCTGCCCGGGCTCAGTGTCCCCCGGGGGCGTGGGGCTGGCCTGCGGGGCCAGGACTGGACAAAGGTCTTGGGCTCAGTGGCTTCAGGCGCACAGAGCTCCCTGGGGGGAGCCAGGACGGGAGCCGGGGCACTGCGGGCACAGCCCCACCAGTGGCCTGTCTCCACAGCTCTGAGCTCTTTCAGCTTCCAGCCCCCTGTGGCCTGCAGAGCCCTGGGGGTCACCCTGGCCTGGACGAGCAAGGAGCCCCATCCTGCTACCTTCCTCGGCCTCCTGGAACGGCCACCAAGGCCAAGACCACTCCGGACTCAGACCCCCGAGGCCCTCGTCGCGACTCACGGACGCAGGGCTGTAAGCCAGCCCCGGTTATGGACACGCCCAGGGCCAGCCCATTGGAAAGAGGGTGGGGACGGCCTGGGAGCCCCGGGAGCCGACTGCCCCTCCTCGGGGACCGGCGGGAGCATCACCTGTGGCAAATGGCACGAGCAGCTATGTGCCCATAGGTCTGAAGCCCCACAGGGAGGACCCAGGCCTGCCTGGGCTGGCTAGTGCCTGGCCATCCAACCCACTCTCCCCAGTGCCCAGGCCCTCCCTCGTTTCACGCCCCCGAAAGGTAAGGTCTAGCCAATCAGCTCAGCTTCCTGGAACCAGGGCCCAGGTCCGAGGCCTGGGCAGCCCTGGGATGGGCCCGAGCAGCCTGTGGGGGCCCTTGGGTCAGGGCATCCCAAGGTCATGGGCCATGGCCCAGGAGCTCCAGGCTGCACCTGGAGGTGGCTGGGGAGGAGCGCGGGCCGGGCCCGGGACGTACACAGCGCGGTGGTGAGCCGCTGGGGCTGGTTGTAGTGCACCATGGCCACGCACAGTGTGTTCAGGGCCACCACGCACAGCACCACCCAGTAGAAGCTCTGCGCCTTCACCATGCGCCGCACGAAGAACCGGAACATCTTCTCCTTCCGGCGGAAGTAGGACGAGCCCTCCGTCTTCCCGCTCTTGAGGCTGGCGCGGGCGAAGGGGGACCCTGGGAAGAGGGGGCTCGCTGAGGATGTGCGGGGACAGCAGCCCAGGACACATCCCCTCCTCCAGAGGTGCCCTCACCCCCCATAAAACCACCTTCGAGGACACTGGCCCCTGCACCCCTGCATGGGCCCCGGCCCTGCCCGTTCCACCGAGGACGGCAGCATCTCACGGTGCTGGGCTGCGGGTGGGTGACGTGGTCTGTCTCCAGCCCTTGGC